TGGTGTTCGTGTGAGAAATGATCCTTTGGAGAGTGCAGTCTGGCAGGATTTGAAAGGGACGGACTTCCGCTCGGCTTCTGTTGCTCTGTCGACAGGCACAAGCGCCATCTGGCACACCTCCTCAAAAATGGCCGTCTACTTTGTGGGAAAAAAGGAAAATGCTCGGTTTGGGAACCCAGCAGCCATCCTCAGTCATATCCCAGGTATGAACATGAACCACATATTTACAGATATATCTCCACCTTCAAACTGAACATTACCAAGTGGGTGGAAACTCAACTTTTACTCTCTGACGTTCTTGGAATAGGGTTATTTCATAGATGCTGCATCACAAATACAAAGGTAATCTTTCTGTCAATCAAGTCCAGCCAAAATATCAGCTCTAGTTTTTATTGTTTAGTCTAACTATGGATAAATGGACAAAAAACGGTATCTCCTCTTATTTGTCAATAAAACTACAGAGAGATGTTGGTTACTAGATTTCGTCAACAATATTGCATGTTGATATTGTCACCACTATTGTTTAAAGAGGTTAAGTTATGGATCATAGTTATCCCTTGCACTGCTTCTGATTTGAGTTTGTTCTGTTTCATGCGACCTTCCAAACAGACTTCAGGGGTTGCGTCTTGTCTCCGGAGATCGTGAGGATCGGGAAGAAGGCAGACGGCTGGCGGGAATCCCTGAAGAACTGCACAGACGACCAACTGGACCTGGTCAGCTTCCCAGAGGCCATTCTTCAGACACAAATCAGCAACAAAGTCCTCCAGGCCAACACAGACAACCTGCAGGAGGTGTGGATCGGCATGCGTCGCAGCTCCATGTCCGGGGAGTGGTACTGGCTGAACAAGTCCGTGGTCGAAGACACCAACTGGGAGGAAGGGGAGCCCGGCCCAGTGCATGACGGTCAGTGTGCCATCATGAGCCTGGAGGACGGCTTTGGCTGGAGGGACGAGGACTGCTGCAAAGCTGCACATCCTGTCTGCTACAAAGAACCTGTCTTTTTTCCCGTTGAGTAAAAACCGCATGGACAAAACTCATCCATACACAATCCACTGGTGTCTGAACCAGTGCTAATGCCATTTTAGCTGCTAGTACTTCTCATGCAACCCAGTCTCACGGCATTTCGTGTTATAGTCACGAAATGTAATCTATTGATTCGTGTGTACCAACACGATTTTCCCATTTTTTTCGTGTCATACAGAACGATTTTAAAAGCAGTGTATTTATATTGGTAGTATGTGTCGGGCCTGCACCACATTAGAACAAATTAGATGGAAAGAATATTTTAAAATACAGATTTCAGTATTGTGAGGCTCTGAGCCCCATTTCTTTTCTTCACAGACGGCAAAAAAAGTCCGACATTATAGAATTTAAAATAAAATCAATAATCGTGGCTTGATATTGAGTAAGAAGACGTTTTTATGAACCACACAGCTTCCGGTCTTTCAAGACCCGACCGGTCAAAAAGACGTGGTGCACGCACGAAACACACTACCAATATAAATACATTGCTTTTAAAATCGTTCTGTGTGACACGGAAAAAAGGGGGAAATCGTGTTGGTGAACACGAATCAATAGATAACATTTATTTTGTGACTATAACACGAAATGCCGTGAGGCTGGGTTTTCTCATGAGGTTAAACTTGAAAAAATAAAGCTAATGCAGAGGTGTCTTAAACGGGCCTTTTCTCTTAGACCCAGCAGGGGGCGACTCCACTGTTTGCAATAGAACATTTGTAGAAATCGATGTGATAATTGCCCTAATTCGCACTTAATTTAAAACCTTAGTAAACAATTTCCTGTTGAGTTTATGGTCTCGGCCTACAGCTTCAAGTCTTCTTGAACACTGCCTGATGTTCTTTTAGTAAATGATGTTTACGGACAACAACAATATTATTATTATTATGTTGTCCGTGTTTTCGTCTTAATGAAAGTTAATTTGAGCTCTTAACTCTCTGTAACAATTGTGTACTTTTTTGGATTCAAAACTAGATGGCGTTGTTCAAACTCAACATTAACGAAACCAATGTCACACTGACCATGTGTTCTTCTTCTTCTATGTATGGATACAAATCCTTTTTGAATATACAACAGAAAAATATAGCTAGAGCTAACTGATGCTATCTCACCAGCTAGCTTATTTTTATCGGTACAGTTTCTGTTATGTTTGGTAGCTTTATTATTCATATACATGGTTGTGACGGCTGTCGCCTCTCCGCTTAATCCTGTTTTGCTGTTTCTTATGTAAATAAGAATATGCTTCAACGTCATTGGCTACCATCTCCTGGTTCCGCCTCCGAAGATACTGATTGGAGCACGCCGGGCCCGACGCGCTCCAATCCCTGTGCCATCCCAGCGCACACCTGCCGGAGATGACTCTACAAAGCCTGGGGACAGCTATCAGTCGGGAGGCTCTGTTGCAATCAGACGCCTCACACATCTTGCTCCTGTGTGGACTTTACAGACTTAAGCTAGTAGATATGTGTTTAGAGTATCGTGTGGCGATATGTGTTTAGAGTAGCGTGTGGTGATATGTGTTTAGAGTAGCGTGTGGTGATATGTGTTTAGAGTAGCGTGTGGTGATATGTGTTTAGAGTAGTGTGTGGTGATATGTGTTTAGAGTAGCGTGTGGCGATATGTGTTTAGAGTAGCGTGTGGCGATATGTGCTTAGAGTAGTGTGTGGTGATATGTGTTTAGAGTAGCGTGTGGCGATATGTGTTTAGAGTAGCGTGTGGCGATATGTGTTTAGAGTAGCGTGTGGCGATATGTGCTTAGAGTAGTGTGTGGTGATATGTGTTTAGAGTAGCGTGTGGCGATATGTGTTTAGAGTAGCGTGTGGCGATATGTGTTTAGAGTAGCGTGTGGCGATATGTGTTTAGAGTAGCGTGTGGCGATATGTGTTTAGAGTAGCGTGTGGCGATATGTGTTTAGAGTAGCGTGTGGCGATATGTGTTTAGAGTAGCGTGTGGCGATATGTGTTTAGAGTAGCGTGTGGCGATATGTGTTTAGAGTAGCGTGTGGCGATATGTGTTTAGAGTAGAGTTAACCCTTGTTAACTGCATTTACCTGCAGCCTCCTTCCATTAGTGTTGATTGGAAGTGATCTCAGGTGTGTCAACTAGGCTCATTTTTAGAGTCCTCTTTCTGTTTCTAGCAGTAGATTTGCGCCCTTTTGGCTTCTTTGTTTGGCTTTGGCTATTTTTGCTTTCATTTTGATGTGCACCCTCGTCGTTATTCATTAAACCCATTTATAATTATTACCAATTCCATTCTGGTGTGTGTTGTTTTCCTCTACCCTAGAGGGGGACGTAACAATAATAATATTTCATATGGTAATAAAAATAGATTCTGGATTGACTGAATAAACACTGAGTTAGTGTCTATATTATTTTATTGACGAAGATCTTTAGGAATTGGTTGATTGTTAAAGTGTCAGTTCTCTGATTGGTGAAAGGACATATTCATCACTTTTGTGTCTTAATAACCTCCATTTCATCTGTGATTTTAACATTAAATCAAATCGAATGTGTGCAACTGGACTGCTTTTCTTTTATTCCCCACAGGTTGAACACACATTTAAAAATGACACTGTTAACAATGACAAACGTCTCAGGTAAAATGACAATTAAACTCTATAATAACTTGTTAAATAATCAATGAATACACAATGCATGGATTCCTTCATAGGAAACTCCCTCTCTAGGAAACACAGGGATTTGAACCTCTGCAGACCATTGACATGCACTAACACCTATAGAACTACAGGAGAGGACACACCAAGAAAAGCATATACTTTAAAGATTGTGCACTAATTTAATTAATTATTTTTTTCTTTATTTATGTTTGATTGTACAATAATTATTTATTTGTATTCATTTCAAAGACGTTAATGTGCTCCAAATGTACACGCTGTTTTAAATTCCTATTTATTATCAGAATTAAATTAGAAGTGATTTACAATAACAGCAATAAACCATAAAGAAACAAACAACAAGAAACCTTCAGGGTATATTTGCCGGAAATAAGCAAAGCACTGTGAGAAAAATCGTGTGTGTGTGTGTGTGTGTGTGTGTGTGTGTGTGTGTGTGTGTGTGTGTGTGTGTGTGTGTGTGTGTGTGTGTGTGTGTGTGTGTGTGTGTGTGTGTGTGTGTGTGTTGGTTGAATTGCCAGTGTGCAGTGGAAGCTTTTGTGTTTTCAGTCTGAAGGTGTGCAGACCTTTGATTAATATCGATGAGGAGCTCGTTCCTCACTGTTTGTTAAATATTCATTTTGAAGTGTTGTTTATCCCTCCTGGCGTGTTCGGGTCAAATATGACCGATTTACTACTTCCGTCATAAATGTTGTGTTTTACATTCGATTGCTTCACATGATGATATCCTCCACAGTAGATATTTGAACATATTTCGCTCTTCCCCAACCTAACCCTAACCCACCGTAGGAAATTGATAAAAACAACTCTCACTGGTTAATAATAGGTGTTAGAAAAATCTTTTAAAAAAATGTTAGAAAAATCTCCCTGAAAAAAAATTCTGACTTTTTCTGAAAAATATCAAAATTATGACTTTTTCTCAAAAATTCGGACTTTTTCTCAAAATTCGGACTTTTTCTCAAAAATATCAACATTTTGACTTTTTCTCAAAAATATCAAAATTCTGACTTTTTCCTCAAATTATGACTATCTCAAAATTATGACTTTTTCTTAAAATTCGGACTTTTTCTCAAAATATCAAAATTATGACTTTTTCTGAATACTTCAAAATGTTAAATCTCACTGGTCCCCGGCTTGAGCTTCAACCTCAGGATCCATGTGTTTGTGATCCTCTCCAGAATGGAAGGAGTCATCACATACAGAGCATCAACTAGTTCCTGAACAGTGTCCTTCACATGCTGATATCCAAGAGAGGGAGTTACACAGTCACAAGATGGAGGAATAGAAAGCAGTATTCAATGTTTACTTCAGATTAGCTCCACGTCAGAAATGAGCATGCTTGATGTCTCTCTCCATAGAGGCTGAATCATCATGTTAATCACATAGCTATCATATGCCTCAAACAGTCCTGATGCTCTTCTAGGTAATCACACATCCTGTCATGTTCACAGCTCCAGTTGATACTTTGTTAGCATGCTACTCTCATGTTGGAAGAGGACACTCAGGATGTTCCCAACAGAAATTAATGGGTAACCCTGTATCGAAATCGATACAATGTACATTTTTGAATACATTTTCAGTGTCTATTCACTGCAGTTATTCATGTGAACCAGTATTATGAGTCATTGTTTACAACTTAAAAGGGAGTTAAATAAAATGTGGTCAAGTATAGCACAATATAATGAAGTTAATTAATGTATACATTCTTTTATTTGTAATATTTTTATTATTTTATTTGTCAACTGTTCCGTAGTTAATCTATGTACCTAGATGTGTTTATTGCGTTCTGTATGCTTTGTGATTATTTTCTTAAAATGCATTGTGAGAGAACTACAGTAAAGGCGGATAAACGAGCACGATAGGAGGGGTTAAACATTTTCAATTTAAAACAAGAGCAGGTTACTTCCTCCAGCAGCGGACGCCATGCACCGCCCACACCCCCCCCAGCAGGAGGAGGAGGAGCACCTTGGCCCCCAGAGGCAGGGACAGCAGGAGCAGCAGGGGAGTAGAGAGCCCGCCCACATGGGGTCGGGGGGGCAGCACGTACAGGACGGCCTTGTCCTTGCCCAGAGGATTTGAGGCGCTGCAGGTGTACTGCTGCCCCGGAGACACGTCCCTCAGCTGGCTCACCGTGTGGAAACTCTCCCTGGAGCCTTGAGCCAGGAGGTGGGCCCCCTCCAGCATGGCCCCCTCCAGCATGGACCCCTCCAGCATGGACCCCTCGGTACCCAGCCACTGGACGTCCGGCGGCGGGGAACCCTGCACCCGACACAGGGCGGTGAACCCAGACTGCTCGCTGCCCTCCGCCCACAGAGAGAGGATCTTAGGAGGAGCTGCAGGAGAGAGGGGGCTGTCAAGGTTTGGCAAGATTGCGGACCGAAAAGCACAAGGAGGCAGGTAAGGGGATGTCAATTAAAGCGAGTGTCTAATTATTAAAATACAAAGCTGTTTCAATACAAAAGCGACCAACCCAGTCTCACAAAACAACGTGTAACAGCTACGTTGGTCCACACGGCAAAACGTAGTATGTTCACAAATAACCCTCTCAAGACGTGACACGGATACAATATTGTTGTCCTATTCAATTCTAATGACCAGTGTCCAGTGTCCATGTCACGTGATCGCAAACTTTCCCAGTGAGAAAAAAGAACATGGCGGACACCCAAATAATTTTTTGTGGAAAATCCTAAATTGTAGAATAATTTGTCCGTTAAAACGCTTTTTGATTTCATTTCTAGCGAGAAGTGTATATTGTACTTGTAGAATCCACGTCCAGTGGATGTGTAGGAGTTTGATAGATATTACGAAGATTATTTGAGCTCCATGTTTTCTTTTTACAAAGATTTTGTATCCATGTCACGTCTTGAGAGGGTTATTTGTGAAGATACTACGTTTTGCCCTGTGGACCAACGTAGCTATTACACGTTGTTTTGTGAGAGTGGGTTGAAACGATAGGAGCAGGCAAGGGGGCACAAAAGAGAAAGTTGCAAACAAACAAACCGGGACCATAGGAGGGCGGAACAGGGAAATCCAGAACACCGGGAACAGGAACCAAACCACCATAAAACTATGACGAACTGACAAGGGACACAAGGGCAAGCAAGACTAAACACACAAGACAAGACACAGCTGGAGAGGGGAGGTGAAACACAGGGGGGGGGGCCGCAGGGGAACACAATCAGACAATCACACAGGAAGGAACACACAGACAGGAAGCAAATACAGACATGACAGACAGGGGGTGAACATCCTTCAAAGAAAAACAGGAAGCCGACAGTCCTTGATAATTCAAAAATAAAAATACATTAAAAAAAATCCTAACAGGGACAAGGTTTTAATACCCAACATGCCAAGACATGTCTTACTGTAGAGCTGAAAGACAACCTTTAAAGAGGCCCTATTCTGCATTGTGGGGGTCTTCCCTCTCCTGTAGTGTTCTATAGGTGTTAGTGCAGGTAAATGGTCTGCAGAGGCTAAAATCCCTGTGTTCTTTATTATGTGCTCTGTAAACGTACCCTCCACTCTGAGCCGGGTCCCTATCTTGTCCTCGAAGCTGACGTGGTCCCGGCCCTGCACCTCCACCCGGCAGTAGTAGCGCCCGCTGTCCTGCAGGGCGGCGCTGTTGATCCTCAGCGACAGGTCGTGCTCCCGCGGGTTCCCCTCCAGCCGGTACCGCTGGTCCTGCTGGGGGCCCGGCTCGCAGCTGGGGGCCCCTGTCCGGCTGGTGCAGCGGAACAGGATGGAGGCGCCCTGCCCGTGGCCCAGACGCCACAGCAGCTGCAGAGATGTATGCTGGGAGTGCTGCGGGTGGCTGAAGGTGCAGGGCAGCACCACGGGGTAACCTTCCAGGGCCCGGACCTCCGGCTGCACCGTCATCGACCAGCCGTCGTCTCCGGAGCCCAGCGCTGCAATTGGTTGATTGTTAAAGTCTCAGTTCTCTGATTGGTGAAAGGACATATTCATCACTTTTGTTTGGAAATACTGAATGTTCCTTCTGTATCAGAGTAGCACCTGATAACAGAGGCCCTACGTAGCTGTGTACGTAGCCGGATGTCTGACTACATGCTCATGAGACACTGTGTTGAAGTCATGATAGCTATGTTCCTACGATTAGCAGATGACACAGCCCTGCCTAGAGAGATAGACATATGACTGTCATGTGTATTGCTTACGCAGGCCTTAGCTAATCTGAGCTAATGTCAGAACACTGCTTTGAACCAGTATTCCTCCATCTTGTTGACTGTAACGCCTTCTCTTGTATATAAGCATATCAAGCAGGGGCGGCGCCAGGGGGTATAGCTTGGAGTTGCTATAGCAACTCCAACAATTGGCCTAGCAACGGCTTAGCAACCCTATTGTTTTGTTATGAAAATGTATCTATATTCATGTGTGTGTGTGTGTGTGCGTCTGCCTGTTTGCGGCGTGGTGATGAGGTTAAATGCCACAGCATGCCAGTTGAAACAGTGAACGATCGCTATTGTGTACTTGTACGCTCAGGGTGTAATGGTATTATACAAATATATTGTAGGAGCACAGAAACAGTGTTTTAATTCTGCTTTTACAAACTTATTTTGCTTGTGCTGACCTTGCAAAGTAATGTTATAAGTGTCAAAGGAATGTTTTAATGTAAATATTAATGATAATATTGTAGCGTGTCCAAGTTAATAGTTATTTCAGTTATCAGATGTGCACAGTTTAGTACATTTGTAAAGTTATTTATGCAATGTTGTTGGTGGGAGTTAGGGAGAGACCGCCCCTTCCAGGTGTGTGTGTGCGTTTTCCGGTGTGTGTGGAGGGAGTACGAGACGGTAGGAGTTGTGTTCGAGTGTGGGGAAAAGTCATAATGAGTGTTATACTATTGATTGGTTCTGTAAGGCGTGGCTGTGGCCGTCAATACCAGAAAATAAAGAGAACGTTTTCGACATTGAAGGTCGAGTGATCTGTGATCTTGAATAGAGAGGCGAAGTCCCTCCCTTTCCGGTGGACCGCCATGGGACCCATTTTGGAAAAATCATGTATTGAAGTCAATGGAGAGAGAAAGATTATCTTTTGATCCCGTTTGAATTGTGCCACGAATTACACATATGATGTTTATCAATTTAAAAGATAATTTTGCAAGTCAAAAAAAATAAAATGTGTCGTAAAACTGCGAAGTTACACTTTGTTTGTGTGAAACCGCTCAATGACCTACATCTCCCGTCTCGCACCACACACCCAGACGGCCGTCACGTTGAAACATTTCACTTCTTTCTTTCAGAACGAGGCGGAAAGTATTAAAAGAGGTGAAAATCACTCCAAGTCTGGTCACGTTGAGAGCTGTACACACACACAAGGGGAGCTAGTCGGTTCCGAAGAGCCAGCATGCGGGACCGGCTTTACAAGGTTTCGGTGAGTAACACGAGTGTAATGTGTAACGTTAATGACATCACTTACCAATGACTTACGCGACTCTGGGATTTGTAGTCTTTCTAGTTGCGTATTTTTCATAGTCTTATATTTCAACAGTTTTACGACAAACTAACTTTTTTGACATGGAAATTATTTTTTTAGATTGACAAACATCATATGTGTAATTCGTGGCACAATTCAAACGGGATCGAAAGATAATCTTTCTCTCTCCATTGACTTCAATACATAACTTTTCCGAAATAAGGTCCCATCGGGTGGAAGTAGAAGGGCGTGACTTCGCCACTCTATAGCGGTGAACGCAAGCCCCCAGGAAGTGCGCCGGACTCAGATGAAAATATTCGTGGTGGCCATACGGCATTACTACACTTCCGTTTGGTTGCCAGGCCCGGAAACACTTTTTCCCATTGACTTACATGGGGAAAGAGTGGTCTGTAAATCGTTGGATAATTTTTTTAAAACTAAATAAACAACCCAGCATGAACACAGAAAACGTCAGAAAATACCCCACTGCTGAATTCAAAAGTCAACAGTGTCTGTGTATGTGTGAGAGAGAGAGCTTACCTCCAAGAACAGATAACATACTCAAAATGCTGCAGACTCTTCGGACCTCCATGATAAGACTGATGAAGACAAACAAGAAACACCACCACCACGGTGTGTGTGTGTGTGTGTGTGTGTGTGTGTGTGTGTGTGTGTGTGTGTGTGTGTGTGTGTGTGTGTGTGTGTGTGAATCAGACACAGTGTCTATGTTTTCCAATCTTTTTTTTACTTCCCTAATTTCTATTTTTATCAATAACTTTGCATGGTCCCAGTGTTGAATGGAGAGAAAATGTGGACTTTGATGCGTGAAAATATATGCTGATTTGATCACACACATTTACACCTTTACATGACACTAAATGTACCCTGAGTTGCTCTAGGCAGTGGCGTTTCTATATGTGCACAACTTAGATGTTTATATAAGCTTCTGGTGCTTTTTTAAACACGTAAGCAATAGTACAAAAATAGAGAGGGGGGGGGGTGAGAGAGGGGACAGGGGCGGGGTGACGAGAGAGGGGGGGTGAGAGAAGAGGGGGGAGGAGAGAGAGAGAGGGGGGGTGAGAGCGAGGGAGGATGAGAAGAGAGAGAGAGGGGGACGAGAGAGAGAGGGGGGCACCCGCATCTCAGAGAGGAGAGAGAGAGTGGGCGGGAGATAGAGAGAGGGGGAGAGAGAGAGAGAGGGGCGGGAGGAGAGAGAGAGGGGGCGAGAGAGAGAGAGGCGGATGAGAGAAGAGAGGGGAGAGAGGAGGGGGGGGGAGGGAGAGAGGAGAGGGGAGAGAGAGGGGGGGGGGAGAGAGAGAGAGAGGGGAGAGCAGAGAGAGGGAGGGGGGCGGTGAGAGAGAGAGGGGGTGAGACGAGAGAGGATGAGAGAGGGGGGAGATAGAGAGAGGGGGGGGAGATAGAGAGAGGGGGGAGAGAGAGGGAGAGAGGAGAGAGAGAGAGGGGAGAGAGAGAGGAGAGGGGGAGAGAGAGGGGGGAGAGAGGGGGGAGAGAGAGGGGGGGGGGAGATAGAGAGAGGGGGAGAGAGAGAGGGAGAGAGAGAGGGAAGAGAGAGAGAGGGGGGGAGATAGAGAGAGGGGGAGAGAGAGGGGGGGAGAGAGGGGGGGAGAGAGGGGGGGAGTGTCAAATGACATACTGTCGGAAGCCGTGAATGAAGAGCACGGAGCAACACTGCGAGCACACACAGCGTGGGGATGTCATAACGCACCTCGACAGGAGAGGGCGCCATCACAAAGCAAATCTTAACAATAGCAACACCCGTAATGCTTCAGCATTAAAACACCTCAGACTGTAAGGAAAACACAGGCACTCATCACCGAGGTCACAATATCAATGGATCCAGCAGAGCAATAGCCTACAGGCAAAACACAGAAGATCAACTAAAGATATGACATAACACAGACTCACCAAAGCTGAAGGTCGACTTCATTCTTTCCGTTTGACTGATTTGAATCGCTATACGCTGCTCTCTCTCGTCTCCTCTTCATATCTACACTTTTCGCGGCACACGTATTTACAGCCAATCAGAATTATGAGATGATGTTTTGGTGGGGTTGCCAGCACTTTGCCCAACTTGTGATAATCAGAGAGAGGGACTAGATCGGGGCTTGCCCCACATCGCTCTCCACAGCTCAATGTGGACACTAATCAGACGACTAAACATGATCTTAAAATATATTTTAAGATATATTTTGAGATATATATTTTTTGCATCATTTTGGAATTATTATTTTAATTACATTCTGCTGTCACTAGGGTCACCTGGTCAGCTGCCCCTAACGACCAGTCGGCTCTAGGCCACTTCTCACTTGAGACTGACAGGAAGCGTTTAGTTTCACACGACTTCCTGATATTTGGCTGTTTAAGTTTGCAGGTTTTCTCTCTTCTCGTTCGAGGTTCAGCCTGAGGATGTGGCAGCAGCAGACCTTCTTTGTTCTCTGGGGGTTCATCACTGGTACGAGCATTTCTCCTTTTATTCGGTCCAATTAGAAGTAGTTAACAAAAGTGAAAGAGTTGACGATGAACAGAATATAGTGCAGGTTTTATGGTTTCTGTAACAAATGGAAATGTCCCCGCTGTGAGAAGAACAAATGATTTTTGTTTTGCATAAAAAAGACTTAAGGGTAAATAGAAGTTAAACGAGCTACCATGTTGATTGACATCTTTGGCCATTGTAATGCTGCACCATCAGGTACAATCCCATTATGAATGCAAAGATAGTCTCTTCACAAATATTAAAAAACTATATTTAAAAAGTATTCTGATGAAGGAAGACGTATGTTGTTTTTCTGGTGATGGCGTTAAATTGACCTGACTTCTTTCTGCAGGAAGTCTCCGAGTGAGAGACCTCTGGTTTGTGTTCAGAAAGAACCCCTCGAAAAGTAGAGGGTTCATCTCAACGGGCTAACCCCTTCAAATAAACCTTAATCAACGATGTGTCAGATCCACAAACCCACTCATCTGGATGTGATCTTCCTCTTCAGGGTCTCTCTCGGCCTCGTGGGACATGGCGGTGTCTCCGGTGGTCTTTGTCCCCAGAGGAGAAGACGTGGTCCTCCCCTGCTCCTTCACTCATCCCCGACAGCAGCGCTACTCCGGGATGATCACATTGAAATGGCTGGCGAGAGAATCAAACGCCCTCCCGTTCCTCACCTGCTCAGTTAGAAACGAGTCCATGGAGGGACAACACAGCTGTGCAGTGTCAGAGTTCAAATATTCTACGTATGGTGACCTTCGTCGGGGGGAGCTGTCCCTCCTCATCAGAAGGGTCCAACTGGGTGATAACGGCACATTCTTCTGCAGGGTGGAGCTGGACCGTGTGCTGCAATATATCCAGAAAGAGACGCAGCTCTATGTGACAGATGAGGGCTGAGCGATCAATTCAGAGCTACTGATATCCCAGCATGGCAACAACATGTATTTCCAGTTTAATCGTCTGCTTTGATGTAAAAAAACTAAACTTGTTTTGTACCAAGTTGATGCTAAAATTCTGAAAATGTGACAGTTCCTGTTTTTTACAGAACAGTAATAAAGAGTGAATGTTTTTGGACCATGGCCAGGTTTGTATGTGGAGCTGTGAAGAACATCTTTCTTGATATTGTCAAAATGTGGTTTATTTCTGCAGTTCAACCTCAGATCCTGAACATGTCCGTGGTGGAGCCGGGTTCAGACGGCGCCCCCCGGAGGCTGCAGTGTGAGGTGGAGGGCCAACCGATGCCCAACGTTACCTGGCTGTCGGCCTCCGGGACCCCGATGCAGGACCTGGATGTGAAGAACCAGCAGAGCGGCCCGGCCCGGCTGCTCAGCTCGGTGCCGTACCTGCAGGAGGTGCTGAGCTGCAGGGCGGAGAGCCGGCTGGGGGTCGCAGAGCGGAGACATCCAGCCACACACAGTACAACTCTCATCATATCTAATACAAACTATAACAATAACAGGATTCATGTTCCACAGGAGGAACAGAGGTCGGAGGCTAAACTAGTGATGCTCGAAAATGAACTAACCTTCTGCAGAGTTGGACAAAAGTATAAAAGTTACCTACCACATTGTAGAAATACTGTAAAGTGTTGCGTTGACATTTCCACTCTAAACCTAGAACCTAGTACCAAAACTAAACGTACCCTATAGAGTTCAGTCAGTTATACAATTCACCTATTTTTAACATAATATATGTCGTGTTAAAAAAGTATGAATCATTAATAATTAAACTATTTTTACTCAAGCTTGTAACAGAATGTCAAGCTCTGTGTTTGCTAGTGAAAAGCATGCTGGGAGGTGTAGTTGTTGTCTATGTCCAACGTCTTTGTGTAATGTGTTTCTCAGGAGGACATGTTGGCGCCCAGCTGGTAGTTCGTCTGGTTCTCTTCACTCTGCTCACTGCGCTCCTCGTCACAGGGACATCTGTTCTCATCAGAAGGTAACTCTCCCTGAGGAAACACTGATCCCCTTCTGATGCCGTTTCTGCCCTTCCTATTACTCAATTATTCACTCGGTACTCCAGAGCAATGTCAACATGTCCCCATTGTTTCCTGATACAAATCCAATTCCTTTGAATAAACTTCACGGACCAAAGGTGACCGAAAGATTTATGTTTGATATGTTGTGTTTCATGATGGTGCCTTGTAGTTTAGCATTAATTCAGCGTCACTCCATCGTTCCCTCCGGTGTTACACCATCTAACATGCTTATTTTGGTATCTTGCTCTGTGAAGCACTTCGAGCTGCATCTTTCTTTAAGGTGCTATTTAAATAAAGTGTATTATATTATTTATTATAATTACATTTTCGTGGAAATTCAAAGGTAATGTTCTACTAAGTGACTGTTTTTTATTCTCCTTCATCTTTACATATTTACAGGATGTGTGTTTGCAGGAAGCTGGAGGACCATCGTGTGCCGGTGAGATCATCTATATTATTAATACGTCTATATGTAACATTTACGGTGGGTGTAAGACGGCTGCCATTCCTCACTTCCTGTTCAAAACTGCTGCTGATCTAAAAACAAAAGTTACAGTTTGAATGTCTGAAGCATTGACTCTTTGAAGCTGATGAGTTAAGGACAACAGCTCCTTACGGCCCGTCCACACAGCGGCGTGCGTTGAAGCTTGCCGGTGGGCGTGTCTGAAACTCGACCAACAACCAATCACATGAATCTCCCGCCCCGGACACACAAGCACGCGATTTGATTGGCTAGAGCTTGTACTGGCATATGTTTTGATTGGCTGACGTTTCTGCCGAGGCTTCAAAAGTTGAACATTGCTCAACTTTTGTTTTTGTGCTGATGGTACCAAGATGGCACAGTGCCAGCCAGCTGTTTGTTAACTTGGGGGTTCCTACCTGTCAAGCCCTTTTAAGAAAGTTAATGTACAAATTCATGTGTCGCCTAGAAGACTCGGACAATCATGTTATCTCCATTTTAATTAACCCTGTGAAGAGTTCTACTCGGTTCTCTTCCATGATTTGGAGACATTGGCGCGATAGCCTCTACAGACGGTGAGCATGCGTGGCTCGCTGTGATTGGACTGATTTTATGTTTTTATCTGTTTGTTTTTATCTGTTTTGTGTATAGCTTTTTATTTATTGATGTGTGTTTTGTCTTTTTGTATGTGCTATCAGTGCTGCGTACCTGGACTCACATTCAAGTTCAGGTCCGGACTCAAGTCCAGAGGTTCAGGTTCAGGTCCGGACTTATAAGTCCGGACCTAAACCCATGGCTTGTGTCAAGTTGTGTGAGTAACTAAAGTGAACTTATTGTGAGCTAATTATCAATTGAAAATGAACTCATAATCAACTCAAATTCAAACTCATCAGGTTTATTGTGCTTCCAACTTGTGTCTACATTTCTCTACAAAGTACAAATGTAAAAAAAAAACGTTTTGCCACTTAGTCTACAAATGACTTATGACAGCAACTACAGTGAACTACTACAAAGCTTAAACATTTATTTCATTTACCAAACTAAAGTAACCAAACAGTCCCTGAGCTGACTGAGCCTAAATCCCTAAAACGTTGCTGAAAGGTAGAGTGGAGAGTAGACTATACGCATTACACTGTTACACACCTACTATACAGTATACACTGTAGTGACTGTACAGTCAGAGTGTACTGTACTGTCTGTACACCATGTCTTTTCTACAACTCTACATGTGTACATTATACAGTACATACTACATACATAGTGATGTACATACTGTTAGAAATTAAAATCAATGTTGATATGGCGTAATTTTGAATTAAATACACTATTTAATTTAAATCAGTTTTATTCTGAAAAAACCGGAAGTTCACACTATTAACTTAATACTTTTATTCAGAAAATTCTTCACTTCCGGTTAGCATTAGCATGTGGCGAAATGCTACGTTTTCAAACCGTGAATCGAAGGGGAAATGACATGTGATGTTGTACACTGAGCACACTGGGATTAGCACTCATTTATTGACGCTGAATAACGTTTATCAGGGAATGTTTAAATAACCACAGACACCAGAATATACGTAAGTGCTAGTTTTTTGCGAGTCCAAGTACCGGTTCCCGACGTTCCGGTTTTAACCGGACTTGAACCGAAACTTTTTACAAGTCCAGTACCGGTTCGGCGTACCGGTACGCAGCACTATGTGATATGGACCTTGAGTCTGGAATAAAGATTGGACATTTTGCAGCGAGCAACGCGTAGCGACGCTCCCACAATGCAGTTCGGCGAAGCGCAACGTCACCCCATTCAAAGTGAACGGGCAGAAGCGCTGACGCCTCAACGCACGCCGCCGTGTGGACGGGCCGTTACGGTACGTCCACACGGCAGCGTCGCGTGCATCAACGGAGACGCTTCCCATTCACTTTGAATGGGGTGACGTCACGCTTTGCCGAACTGCATTGTGGGAGCATCGCTTTGCCTCCGTTGCTCGCTTGAGAAAAGTTCAACTTTCAAGCGTCGACGGAAGCGTCAGCCAATCAAATCATATGCCAGTACAAGCTCTAGCCGATCAAACCGTGTGCTTGTGGGTCCGGGGCCGGAGATTAATTTGATTGGTTGTTGGTCCACACCCACCGGCAAGCTTCAACGCACGCTGCCGTGTGGACGCACCGTTAGAGGGAAGAGAACCTCAGAAAATGTGTTTGAATAAAGGTTTAGCTGCACAGAAACAGGAACCTGCCGTCTGTCGGATAAAGATTTAAAGCTGATAAAAACATCAATGGCAACATGTCCTCTTTCATGATGATCTTTAGCCATTTCTTGGAGCACATTTCATGAGAAAATGAACGCAACTTCCTCTTAGTCATTAAAAAACTGTCCAAATACAGACAGACAACAAGTAGTATTTAACAACTGTGTCATTTAGCTGTCTTTTAGCTTCAATAAGGTTTTAATTTGTCGATTTAAATAAATATATTTGTTCTCTTACACACTGAATCTCAGTCATGTATTTACAGCAACAAGAAAATCAGCATCGGATTTATTGAGACATTCCTAGAAATATCAATAAATACATTTTTCTGTTCAAAACAATTCTATTATTTAGAAATGTTTTGAATACGCAATTGTTTATATTTCCATAATGATTGTTTAATGTGTGGACTCTGCTTCCTGTTGCAGCCTGCAGACTTCCTGGAGGAGCTGTGAGCAGCTGATGCTCCTTTGATAAATCAGAGCTTCAGATCACAGCATCAGACATTCATCCAGGCTGTGTGTGTGTGTGTGTGTGTGTGTGTGTGTGTGTGTGTGTGTGTGTGTGTGTGTGTGTGTGCATGTGCGTGTGCGTGCATGTGCGTGTTGTTGAGATCTCCATATGAAGTGAATACTTAAAACGAAAGTTAATTATAAATCATATATGATCAATCATATTCTTGTATGAACCCATAATGAGAATGCTTCTTGATGGTTTTTGAGTATGTATGTATGCTTACAATTTTAGTTGTTGCTGTTTTGATAACTTTGCGTTTTAAAAAGAGGGTGTTGAGAGCTTCATAGTATGTTGAATACTTAAAACGAAAGTTAGTTATAATCAAATATAATCAATTATATTCTTGTATAACCCACAATGAAAATGCTTCATATTTTAGGTTTTCTATATTTACAGTATAAACAAAGCCAAGTGGTTTGTTAAGTTGAGTGTAAGACCTATAATGATTTATGGGTGTCTCTGATAAGAGAGTAGGCCGTTTCTTCACTCTCCTCTCACAGCAGGGAGGGGGGCTCCTGACTTAAGGAGAAACACATTGAGGCCTCAAAAAGGTGGTTATGTCATAGCCATAGAATATGTCTGGTCATGTCCTTTTTTACACAAACATGGGAAGGTGTGTCTTATGCCATAGCCAATAGAATATGTCCATTCCTGTACATCAGTGGCCATGCCCAGTTTGTTTCATTGGTTGGGTATAGAGGAGGTGTTTTTGGGGGGTGTCTATCCTGTTTTTTGAGCATAAAGAGACTGGTCTTTTTGGGAGGGAGCGAGAGAGAGGGGGGTTCCCCTGGTATACTCTCTCCCGGTAAGCTCTGGCCTTCAGAGCTGGGTAAATAGCTCTCGGTAAGGTTTTCTCTGCCTGGAAGACGTTATTAAACGTAACAGGATCTTAGAGTTAGTGATCTTAGTTAGCTCTGCCTGGAAGACATTATTAAATGTATCAGGATTTTAGATCTAATTAGAAAACCTACGCCATCACGAGGAAATTCCTTTTGAATTTCGTCGGAAGACTTTAATGGGAGAACTATGAATTAAGGTTTTAGATTAAAATATAACCCCAGCATGATATGTTTCGTATGATTATAATGTTGTAAAGAGAGAAGGTCAAAACCCTGTATTAGTTTGGACCTATTTTTCTTCAAATAAACTGATCCCACCTTTTGGACTGGGACAACTTAAAATACACCTGTGCTCTCCTCTCCTGCTTCAAAGGTAAGACTGCACCCTACCACACTCACACTTAGGTAGGGCCACACCACATTTACTGATATCAAAATCCTTCGGGATCGCTTAAACAGATTAAAAAAGAGTTGTCTGAATTGAAACAGCAGTTAATTGAACCTGGTTCTTCGGGGAGTTAATAGAGGTGAGATCTTGTTGACGTTGGTGGATCTGAGCCAAGCAGTAAACTTACATAGACTCAATAACTTCTGTAAGGTCAATTAGTAGGTCAGAGTAATTTACCGGAATAAATTATCAGGACCTCACCTACTCTAAACAGTGTGTGTGTGTGTGTGTGTGTGTGTGTGTGTGTGTGTGCATGTGCGTGTGTGTGTGTGTGTGCATGTGCGTGTGCGCGTGCGTGTGTGTGTGCGTGCGCGCGTGTGTGTGTGTGTGTGTGTGTGTGTGTGTGTGTGTGTGTGTGTGTGTGTGTGTGTGTGTGTGTGTGTGTGTGTGTGTGTGTGTGTGTGTGTGTGAGTGTGTGTGAGTGAGCGTCTCTATATTACACTTCACTGTAAACTCCAAATGTTTCAGTTATTAGTTTCAGGTCTTCCAGATGTTTAATGAGTTCTAGGTTTGAGTGTTTGGGTAAATATCAGAAGCTCAGTCAGTAGGGCCTCGGCCTCGGTCAAAATCTGTCTTTGATGAAGATTTGAAATGATTTTATTTGTGCATCCTTGACATATGTTATACTGAATAATAGCAACAGCAACATTGAAAGAAATTATCTCGGTAATTTATGAATTTACTTTTAATTCAGAGAGTTAGCTTGCTTGTCTCAGTGTATGCTGCTCATCAGAGACATTAAAGAAATCATGGTATTTACTTATGGAGGTGAACTGGGACCTCTCCAAGTAGCAGTCGACACTCCACATTAAGGTCTGGTCGGGGACTTGAACCGGCGACCCCACGGCTTCCACTCAAAGCCCCTACTGACTGAGCCACTGCCGGACAAAAGGGGGAATCACTTTTAATTGGAGCTGAAAGTATTTAAACTTTTGGACACAGCAGCGAATGCATATGCAGAAAAATAGGAAAAACAAAAGCTAGAACTAGGGGCGGACCCATGAGGTAATAAGGGGAGGGGCCAAGGCAGCAGGGTTTTAGGGAGGTTGTAATGAATGTATTGAATTGTTTGAAAACTGCAAACACTACATCACACTCAAGAAGACTGCCTCTGCTGACGTGTGCAGGAGTGTGGCTCACTCACACATTCTGTAAACCCGCTGAGATTCAGACAGCTGGTCCATTGTCTCCCAGAGGTGTACTGGTATGCACACTGTTAGAGCCAGTATTTAGATTTGATAAGAAAGGCCACCTAATTGTGACGTCTGTAGTCAACACACTATAAAGGACTACAATTCCCACGGCGCCTGTGCTAAAGCCACAGTGATGGGCAACCTGTAGAGAGACACCGACGAGGAACAGTTGTTAACCGTACACGTAGGCTACTACACGTACACATACAAATCCTACAAGTACCCTTTAGGTTATGAAGTTGTACAAGCATTATTAAGAAAGACAGAATACCTAAGTTGTTTGTTATTTTATTTGAGTTTTGCTTATTTCTTTTGAATATTGTAAAGGCCTCTTTTTCTTGTTAGACGTGCAAAAGTTTGTTATTTTATTTTGAGCAAACACATCGCATAATATCATCGAACCATCGGAGGCCAAGCAACTCTTCAACTGTGAGTCATTTAAAGGAAAGACAAGGAAGGAAGCCATTAATGCATCACTTACTAACTGAGGAAGCACATTCATTTTGAGACACGATGCAAGTTCATTGTGATACACATTCAATGAAGATGACTTTTGATTGTGTTCTGGTTTTATGTTTCTGTAAGTATTTGTAAGCAACTGTGATTGACAGAACATCGCTTTTTATTTTACTTGTTGTATCGCTATTTCATTTTTAAGTAGGGGCAGGTCAAACAAGATTGTATTCTCCTTTCCACTATGAGCTACAACAAAAGGTGTACATGTTTTGTTTTAAAATAACTGCCATGTGTGGAATAAACAAACAAACAAATAAATAAACAATCCAGCTATTCAATTGATATATACTGTGTGTAATGATCTATTATAACAGGATGTAATATTTGAGTTTAAATGTCCAAGTTTTTCCTTTAGTAGATTAACAATAGGTGTTATAAACTCTCCCTGTTCCCCGGTTTAGGCTTCAACCTCAGGATCCATGTGTTTGTGATCCTCTCCAGAATGGAAGTAGTCAAAATCTCAAAATTCAGATTTTTTTCTCAAAGTTCTGACTTTTTCTCAAAAATATCAACATTTTGACTTTTTCTCAAAAATATCTAAATTCTAACTTTTTCTCAAAAATATCAAAATTCTGACTTTTTCTCAAAAATATCAAAATTCTGACTTTTTCTCAAAAATATCAAAAATCTGACTTTTTCACAAATTCTGACTTTCACTAAATTCTGACTTTTTCACAAAATTATGACTTTTTCTTAAAATTATGACTTTTTCTCAAAATTCGGACTTTTTCTCAAAAATATCAATTTTTTTTACTTTTTCTCAAAATCGGACTTTATCTCAAAATTATGACTTTTTCTCAAAATATCAAAATTATGACTTTTTCTGAATACTTAAAAATGTTAGTAATCCCTCATCACCGGCTTGAGCTTCAGCCTCAGGATCCATGTATCTGTGATCCTCTCCAGAATGGAAGGAGTCATCACATACAGAGCATCAACTAGTTCCTGAACAGTGTCCTTCACATGCTGATATCCAAGAGAGGGAGTTACACAGTCACAAGATGGAGGAATAGAAAGCAGTATTCAATGTTTACTTCAGATTAGCTCCACGTCAGAAATGAGCATGCTTGATGTCTCTCTCCATAGAGGCTGAATCATCATGTTAATCACATAGCTATCATCTGCCTCAAACAGTCCTGATGCTCTTCTAGGTAATCACACATCCTGTCATGTTCACAGCTCCAGTTGATACCTTTGTTAGCATGCTACTCTCATGTTGGAAGAGGACACTCAGTGTTTTCCCAACAATAGGACTATTACTATACTAGGAAATGACATCACTTTACTGTAATGCAGCCCTAAAAACCGTGGCGCCGTATCAAAGTGCTGGGACATCCATCCGCTGAGAGACGGTGCCGATGCCTTGTTTTCATGGGAAAGTGGGCGGAGCCGTAGTTTCCCCAGGAAGTTAATTCAAATCAAATCAAATCAAGTTTTATTTATATAGCACATTTATAAACTTGGTGGAGCCAAAGTGCTGTACATAAAATAAAAATAGCCTACAGTAGAGACACTTTACAGCAAATACAACAACACAGATTGTTCAGAACATCAGTATGAGGAAAACGACACCCTCTGTCCTTAGACCCTCTGTCCTTAGACCCTCTATCCTTAGACCCTCTGTCCTCAGACCCTCTGTCCTTAGACCCTCTGTCCTCAGACCCTCTGTCCTCAGACCCTCTGTCCTCAGACCCTCTGTCCTTAGACCCTCTGTCCTTAGACCCTCACATCGTACAAGGAAACACTTCCAGAGAAAACCCACAGTTTAAGGGAACATGGGAGAAACCTCAGGGAGAGCAACAGAGGAGGGATCCCTCTCCCAGGACGGACAGACGTGCAATAGATGCCGTGTGTAAATCGAAGAGATAATACATTTGACAGCATATAGACCGAATGTTAGGAAATGCATGTGTCTGTAATAAGAAGATGAATCCACGAGGATG